TAGATGTCTCATGTTATCTTGAATGTTTCCCTTTCTTTGGGTGATATGTATATTTCACAGTAGATTAGTAGTTACTCTAGAAATCAGGGTATATCGTTGTTGCCTGCACCTTAGAATAGAATTTACACCTCTTATTTATGTGGTGCTAGTTGGAATTGGTGCTGTAGTCATAAATTAGAAGTAATTTTTTATTATTCTACAGTGTCTGTGAGAAAACAATATCTTGCAAAGGAATTTTCTAGAATCTTCTATAGTGTTCTCTCTATTAAGGATAGTACTGCATTAGTAATTGGAAAGTTTTCAGCAAGAGTCATGTGAAATTTTTCTAATAAAACAGGTCATTGCCTGCCAAAGCCAAGCTGATGCGATGTTGGAGCAAAGGATAGAGCCTGGATTATGAAGAAATGAGGAAACACAGTTAAAATATCCAGGGGGAGATTCAGTGAAGCACATAACAAATGTAAGAGAAGTATATCCTCCAAAGAGGAACGGCAGTATATCCAAAAGTGGCTTGGAATATTCTGTTCAGGTTGGAAATGATTTTAGAAGCTGTTAAGGTGGCTCTTTTCTTTTGGTACTTCCAGAAGGACATCTTTTGTCCCAGACTCTTTAAGCTCTCTAAGATTCTACCCATGGAAGTGATCATCCTTCAGAAGTCAGTGAGACCCATACTTCTTGTGATACGCTATAAGGGACTACATATCTATTATCCATTTTATTGTTTAGGAGTATTGGGACTATCTGTGCATATTTGAAGACCCACTACATTAAACCATCTTTGACAGGGTTTTGCTCTCCTGCAATTTCCTTGACAACAGTGGGCTGATCATCAGCTCACTGCAAACCAAACATCTGGGGCCTCCCAGGGATCCTAAACCCTCGTCATTCGCAAAGTAGCAGAACTATGGGCATGAGCTAACATCGGCAGCCCATTATTTTCAATTATTATATTAATTATCTGGTAAAAATGAATCCTTTTATGTGCCTAGGGGGCTGGTATAAAATCCTGGCCTCAAGTGATCCTTTTGCTTGGCCTCCAAAAGGCTGGGATTATAGGTGTGATCCTCCATGCCTAGCTCCCATTGTTTTAAGTTCCTTTTGATTGTGTCATTCTCTGAAATCTGTAAAGGGGAACAGTGGGGAGATATTTGGATTGTTTCTGTAAACCAGAAACCTAGCAGACCAGATAGTCCAATTTTCTGCATCAATTATTTCCCATTCTAAGTTTTCAGAGGCATCTACAGAAAGTCAGGCCTCACTAACTTTGTACAAATGCATAGCCTCTGCTAAAAATGTAAAAATCAATTGTTATTTCACTTCTAAATAATCCTTTTTCTAGTATAAATAAGAGTAAATTTCAACTTTATTATAAGCAAATCCAAAACTATAATATAGGTTTTTTTTTGCATGCTTACCTTAAGAAATTCCTAAATATACTGTCCATTCAGTGCTTCACCATCCATAATATTTTAATATCCCAATTGATCACAATTTTCATAACTTATATTCCATATTTTCCCACCTGTGTTTAGTAGCATCATAATGTATCAATTCTCTATGTGTGTATGTGTGGCATATATTTCTGGTGGAGGATGTTTAATGGTGGAAGTTTCCGCACAATAAACTTAAATAACTGATAATACTTTATGCACACAGGTGTAGTGATCTGATGTTGGTTAAATAGTAAATAATACAATAAGGTATAACTGTTCCAACTCATCTCACATATTTAGCAATTTAATAATAATTATAAGTAGGATCTATGGGCTTAACAATTTAAGCATATACATTATTAATAACTCTATGACATGTTGCCCATACAATGATCATCCCATGATCTATTCATCTATATAACTAAAAGATCTTCACCCCCTTAACATCTCTAATTTTTTTGTGACTTCTATACCCTGGAAACCACTGTGTACTCTTTAATATTTATAAATTCAAACTTTAAAAATAATTATCCGTAGCAGTATTTAATCTTTTTTCTGGGGAAAATGGCTGATTTTACTTAGCTAATGCTACTATGACATCATGTTGTTGAACATGGCAGAATATTTATCCATTCATGGCTTAGTATTATATATTGGTCATGTGTTGTTGTACAGGCATTTTTAAATCATTCATTCACAAGCATGCATTTAGTGTTTTTATTTTCTTGCGCAAATGTGCATAATGACTACGAATATATATGGGGGTGCAGAATCTCTTGAGAATACTGTTTTACAGATTATACTCATAGGTAGCAATGGGAATGAAAAATAAAAAGGCAGTTATGTTATTTACATGTTTTAACAAATCTCTATGATGACACTATGCATTTACAATCAATAACAGTCTACAGGGATTAATTTCCTGCACACTCTTGTCCTCACTTGTTATGTCTCTTGTTTTGGACATTAGCCATTTTAGAGTTGTGAGGTGATACCTTACATAAGTTTTCATTTGGTTTTATGATGTTTTGGCGAGGCTTGAGTTACTCTTGTGTGTTCCATGTGGTAAACTGTATGTTTCTTTGAAAATAATCTAACATAAACTTTTGCCTTATATTTATGGGGTGATGACATTGTTTTGGATTTGAAAAAATATGAGTTTCCCAAGTTATTTTGGGTAATTGACATTTATACAAATATCTAACTGTTGAAAATACTTTCCCCATTCCTATTATGTTTTCTTATTTTTTCCTTGCTGTACAGAGGATTTTAAGTTTGAGCAGCCCAAACTTTTCCAATTTGTTCCCACTGGCACTTTGTTTCATATCAAAAAAAATTGCAAGTCTTATGTCAAGGTTTCCCATATTTTCCTTGTTTTCGTTTATACTATTTTAAGAAATATTAGAGTTTTATGTATTCCATTTAAAATCTTTATTATATTCTGGAGTTAGTTTTGGATCATAGAAAAAGATAGTCGGCCTGCTTTTTCATTTGTTTTGGTATCCATTTTTCTAGCACCAAGCATTAGAAGAGCCATACTTTCTGCATGTGCATTGCCCTAGTGCCTAGAGAAATGTTACTTGACCCTTATAATGTTTCGGTTTAGTTTCTGAGGTCTCCCAATTCCCTTCCATTGTTATTTTGTGATTCATGTGAATATTTTGCTGTTTTCAATTACTCCCACTTAAAAGTAGTTTGAATCGAAAGTAGTGTGATGCGGAACCTTTTTTATTCTTTCTCATTATTGTATAGGCTCATCAATGTGTTTGTGAGATCATACAATATGTAGTTTTGGTTAATACTGCAAAGAATGCCCCTGGAATTTGATAGGATGCATTGAATGTATACATTGTTTTGGATATATCATCTATTCCTGATGGCCATTTCAAATTTTTTTAATTAATATCCTATAGTAGTAGGGTAAAGGTTTTTTTAACCACTTAGTTAAATTTATTTCTTAGACATCTATTTCTTGATGGTATGTAAATGAGGGTTTCTTTTTCATTGCCTACTTTATTAGTATATAGAAAAACAACTTGCTATCTGTATGTAAATTTTAGATCTGTGCTTAACTGAGAGTTTGTTACTTTTATAGCTTCTTCCTTCTTCTTTATGGCTTTGATCTTTAAGGATACTGCATCTGTACAGGTTATTTTTAGTTTTCCTTTCTAATTTGCCGGTGGATCCTTGGTCATGTTTGCCAACATTTCTGGCTTAGGTGTGTATCCATAATAAAGCATTAACAGTGTTGCACATTATAACTTATATGGATCTGTGCCATAGAACGATTAGAAATATCTTTCCAAGTTTAAACTGGTTTTTGGAAGGTAAAGATTTTTTCTTTTGAGTACTTGGACTTAAAGGTAATCTCCACTCGGTTTTCAATGAAGATTGCTGTAGCTAGGACACAAGTCTGCCCTTGTTCTGCAGTGATGTCTGCCATCTGCGGGCCCATTCCAAAGGGCTTGGGTGGTTTTCAATCCTCTCTTGTTTCTGGGTAAATTGGTTGCCTTCAGGATTTGGATGTGTATGACACATACTAGGGTATGGTTGTGGATTTCAGTCTGCATATTTTAGGGCTAATTCCATATGTGTGGCTGGGTGTGGCTCCCAACGAGTACCTTGGAAGAGTCCCTGCAGGTCACTGTGTGGATCTATGCACTGAAAGAACTGGACATGGATTATAGTTGAGACAGCTGTAGCAGAGTCACAGTTCTGCTTTATAGATGATAGCAAGCCCAAGTTATTCAGGTCTGCCTCCATGGCTGCAGATAGCTGTGTCTCTCCCAAGTCTCTGGATGAGCAGCACCACTCCAAGTTTGCCACAGGGAACCATTGGAGACTCTGTGTATCCAAGATGGTTGACCCATGTTGCAGTCTGTATTCAGAACAATGGGTCCTTAAGTTTGTCACCTGGATGAGAGCCTGAATATTCTAAATGACCCTCCCAGATCTATTGTTCCAATAGAGTTTAATGACTTTCCATTTAAGTACTCAAATTTAGATAATTGTAATTTTCCGTGGATGCCTGCCAAATTTTTGTTGTTCTTTGCGGATAAAAACAAGTGCATCCTTCCCCTCCCTCCATATAGCTGATTTCCTCTCCTTATATATCTTAAATTTGTGATCTGTTCTATTTAAATTTTTATAGTTTTTAGAATCAAAGGCTCAGAATAACATGGCAGCATTTCAATTTCTCTACATTGTCACCATATGTATATATTTGCATATGATTTTATTTATTTAAAAGTTCTCAATGTAATGCATGTGAGATGGTAAATCATTGTGATATTGTTTTGATTTCTCTAGTGATTAATAATTTTTACGATGCTTCCAAATTATGTTTGGCCATTAGTATATCATTGTTGCAGAAATGACAGATCAATCTATTGTCCATTTGTTAGTCAAGCTGTTCACATTTTTTTTGAATTTTAATCAGTGTTTATTTATTCACGATGTTAACTTCTATCAAATATGTGATTTGCATCTATTTTAACCCATTTTGTAGGAGGCATTGTTACTCCACTATGTTTTTCCTTTCTGCAAAAAATTTGAAGTGTGATACAATCCCATTTTACTTCTCTCCATTTTTATGGATTGTGCATTTGATGTTACCTCTACTAAAACGATGCCAGGACATATATCATGTTGTTTCCCTTATATTTTCTCTATGAGTTTTATACATCTATTTCTCTTGTTTAAGTACTTAATTTATTTAAGGTATAATCTATATAGTGCAAGGGAAGATACCAACATCATTTTTTTCTCTCATAAATATTCAGTTTTCTACAACATTCATTTATGGGACTCTTCTCTTGCATTGCATAGTCGTTGCAATCTTGATTAACTTAATTTTGGTCATGGAATACAAAGGTTTATATCTGGATTCTCCATTCTGTTATTTCATCTCATTATTTGTCATTGTGCCAGTAGCACGTTTTTTTAATCCTGTAGATTTGTTTTCAAAACAAGAAGTGCTATACCTCCTTGTTTGTATTTCTAAAACAGTCTGGCTATTTTTTGTTCCAATATACTTTAGAATTTATTTTTATATATCTTCAAAACAAGTATGATAAGACCATATAGACATTGATTAAATTTGTATATCACTGTGGATAGTATTGACATCCTAACAATTTTAAATCATCTGACCGTTGAGCATGAATGTATTAAAGAGTGTTTAATTTTGACATATTTTTGTATTAACCAGTTTGTGTTGTCATTTTGACTTCTGGTTCCACTTCCTTTTTGTCAAAAATTATATGTTGTATATTTTTAGGTTTCTTCAACTTGATAAGACTCAAGTATCCTAACAGCATTTGCCATGTATGTTTGAAACTATAGTGTATTCTGCTGATTTTGAATGTAGAGCTCTGTAAATGTCTTTTCCATCTAACTGGTCTCTAATGTTTTCCCCGTTATCTGTTTTCTTATTTATCTTCTGTCAAGTTTTTGTATTCACCATTGAAAGTGAGGTCTTGCAGTCTCCTATAACTAGTGTGTTGCTAGGTGTTTCTTGCCACACTTCTGTCCATACTATGGTTCATATTCCCTTAATATATTTAGAAGCCCTGATATATGATGTATTTTTTAAAATATCTATGCTAAAATATGTACATTACATGTATGTCATCTATGTATAGTATGTGCCATATATTTCTCCTAAATGACCCATTTTGTCATAAAATCTTTGTCTCTTCTGATAGTTTTTGACTTAAAGTGTATTTTCTTTAATTATGGCCACAATATTCTCCTCTTATTACTGTAGATATTTTTTTACAATTACTTTCAGCCAGTTTGATTTTTTAGAGCTAAAGAAAGGCTTTTGTAGGTGGCATGCTTTTATTCATATGTTCATCTTATTTTTCATTATACAGTCTAAACCATTTATATTTAATGAAACTTCTGAAGGAAGACTTTGTTCTTTTTTATTATTCAAAAACTGAAATTGAGAATTTGAAAGGAATTGCATTTAATCTGTAGATCAATTTGGATATCTTCACAATATTCTGTATTCTTCCCTTGAAGAAGAACGTATTCATGAGTGTTTTGTTTATTTTCCTATATTTGTTAATTTTTCTGTGTTTCTTCGAGTATTTATTTTCAGTCTCATTCCATTCTAGTCAAAAATTAAAGTCTGTAAAATTTCAATTTTCTAAAATTGGATAAGACTTGTGGCTGAACAGGTAGTTTTTTAGGAAGAACGTTTTATAAGCTATGAAGAAGATTGTATATTCTACTATTATTCTGTTAGGTGTTTCCAATATATCTGTTAGGTCTAATTACTGTATATTGTTTTCAAATATTTTGTTTCCTTATTAATAATCTGACTGGCTTTATTATTATTGAAAGTTGAATATCAAAGTATCCTATTATTTTTGCTGTCCTTTTCTTCAATTCTGTCAATGCTATATAAAATATATTTGAAAACCTTGATGTGAGATAAAGATAGATATCCTATATATGTATTATTTTCATAAGCCCTCAGTGAATGTCCACTTTTTATATTTAATGCCCTTATTTGTCTATTGTGACAGTTTTGACTTAAAGTATATTTTAAAAATTATAACATTTTTCACTTCAAAAGTAATGTGCCTAATATAATTTTGAACTCCACTGCTCTTAGACGCTAAATATTTTCCTGATATATCTTGGTATATCCTGCCAGTTTTAGTCTATTATTCTCACCAGGTGTGAAGCCAAGTCACTTTAGATACAATATAGTTGGATTTTGTAATCCTCTTATTTAACTGTGGCTTCTGACTGGAAACAGTAGTACATAAATATTTACAAAATTTCTCAAAGGAAGGACTTACAATTTCCCTAATGTTAATTGTTTTATATAACTTTTATCACTATCTTTTCTTTGTTTCATCTTCTTCTTTCCTTCATTGTGCCTCACTGCTTAGTGGCATATTTTCTTTCTTTGCCTAGCTTTCTTTTTTTATCTCTATAAACATTTTTCCTGATGTTCACTGTGAGAACTACCTAAAATCTTTTACTTGCAACTAATGTTAAATGGATAACTACTTAACTTTGGTTGCATACAAAAATTCTTAATCTTTACCTCAGCCCTCACCTTTATGATATTGATGTCAATAATTACATCTCTTCATATTGTATGCAAATTAACACATGGAAATAATAATTTTTTTATTTTGCCTTTCAAATTTTATAGCATAATTAAATATTTTGCACCAACATTATGATATTGCAGAATTTTATTTTTGATATGTGCATATTTTTCCAAGAGAAATATGTAGTTGCCCTGGGAGATAGAAACCAGCCTTTGGAAAGGCTATAAAAAAACAGATGTGTGGACATATACCTACAGTTTCCTTCTTTTGTGATAGGAAATCCAGGACATGGGATTTTTCTACTAAAGCGATAACTCAGTATCAGCATGGAGGAAGGGCTATGGTGGGTAAATGCAACAAAGTTTCCTTCCCCTTCCATGTGGTTTTTGGTGTTATTCTAATTTGGGTTTCTATGAACAATTGGCAGTTACGATTTCTAAAAGAATCATGGTTGTCAGTATATTTTTAGGTCATACATCTATGATAGTATATATGACAGTATATTTATAAGGTCATACATCGATGATAGATACCATTGCTAACGTGCTTTCTACACTTTTAAATATTCAAATTATGAAATATATTCCCTGAGTCTAGTTAGTGAGATACTTTGTTATTTTCATTTCTTTCAGAACTGTCTTCCCATTCCACCAAAGACCTATTGCCAGAGCAAGGCATAAAAGACCCATTTCAGAAATCAATACTGAGACTATATGGAAGCTGTGGCCTTGAAAATGTACACTTAAAAAGAGAATGGGATTGTGTGGTTGAGTGTAAGAAGCAGAAAGTATGTTCTGATGGTCTTACCCAATGTCTGTCAAGTAGCCATAGAAAAATCTTCAAATGTTATAAATGCATAAAAGTCTTTAGTAAATCATCAAATCTAAATAGACATAATAAAAGACATATTGGAGAAAAAAGATTCAAACTTGATGAATGTGGCAAAATTTTTAATCACAGCTCTAATGTATCTGGACATAGGAAATTTCATACGACAGAGAAATCCTACAAGTGTGAAGAATGTGGAAAATCCTTTAACTGTTGCTCAAAACTTATTATACATGGGAGAATTCACACTGGAGAGAAGCCCTACAAATGTGAAGAATGTGGCAAAGCCTTTAACCAGTCCTCAAACCTTACTCAACATAAAAGAATTCATACTGGAGAGAAACCCTACAAATGTGAAGAATGTGGCAAAGCCTTTGTCTCGTGTACAAAACTTACTGTACATAAAAGAATTCATATGGGAGAGAAACCCTACAAATGTAAAGAATGTGGCAAAGCCTTTGCCCGGTGTACAAATCTTACTCTACATAAAAGAATGCATATGGGAGAGAAACCATACAAATGTGAAGAATGTGGCAAAGCATTTACCCAGTGCATACAGCTTTCTCGACATAAAAGAATCCATTCTGGAGAGAAACCCTACAAATGTGAAGAATGTGGAAAAGCCTTTACCCAGTGCACATACCTTACTGAACATAAAAGAATTCATACAGGAGAGAAACCTTACAAATGTGAGGAATGTGGCAAATCCTTTACCCAGTCCTCAACCCTTACTCAACATAAAAGGATCCATACTGGAGAGAAACCCTACAAATGTGAAGAATGTGGCAAAGCCTTTACCTGGTGTACAAGCCTTACTCTACATAAAAGAATTCATATGGGAGAGAAACCCTACAAATGTGAAGAATGTGGAAAAGCCTTTACCCAGTGCACAAACCTTACTCAACATAAAATAATTCATACTGGAGAGAAGCCCCACAAATGTGAAGAATGTGGCAAAGCCTTTAAGCAGTCCTCAATCCTTACTCAACATAAAAGGACCCATACTGGAGAGAAACCCTACAAATGTGAAGAATGTGGCAAAGCCTTTGCCTCATGTACAAAACTTACTGTACATAAAAGAATTCATATGGGACAGAAACCATACAAATGTGAAGAATGTGGCAAAGCATTTACCCAGTGCACACATCTTACTCGACATAAAAGTATCCATACTGGAGGGAAACCCTACATATGTGAAGAATGTGGAAAAGCCTTTACCCAGTCCTCAACACTTAGTCAACATAAAAGAATTCATACTGGAGAGAAACCCTACAAATGTGAAGAATGTGGCAAAGCATTTACCCAGTGCACACACCTTACTCGACATAAAAGAATCCATACTGGAGAGAAACCCTAAAAATGTAAGAATGTGGCAAAGCCTTTACCAGGCTAAGAGACCTCACTCTACCTAAATGAATCCATACAGAAGAGAAACCATACAAATGTGAGGAATGTGGCAAAACATTGTCCCAGTGCTCACACCTCTATATAAAAGAATTCATATCAGAGAAAATTTCTACAAATGTGGATATTGTGGCAAAATCTTTAAAAACTGCTCACATTTTATCGAACATCAAAGAAATCATACTAGATAAATGTTAGATAAATGTAATGTGTATGGAATTGCTTTCCCAAAGTATTAGCCTTAAAATGCACAACAGTACTTACAGTAAACTATAATAATGTAGAGAGCTGACAATAGCTTTAGTTATAACAGAGATCTTATTGGACATGGGAGAACTTACACTGAAAGAAATGCCCCAATATTTTCTCAAACATTGCTCAACATCACAAAAATTTTAAGGAATAGAAATCTTACAAATATAATGAATGTGAAAATATATTTATGCAAAAGATACACCTTAGAGAACAATAAAAATTTGATACTTAAAACTACAATACAGATATAATAAATTTCAGAACGCACTTAATCAAGAATCAAGTCTAAACAGATATCAGAGGACTCACAGGGCAATGCACTGAGTCACTAACACATTCTCACATTTCTTTAAACCAAGTTTTTTATTATAGAGAACACCCAGTTAAAATAGTTAGTTGATTTTTTTGTATGTCAGCTTTAAAAAAGTGGGAGATTTTTTGAGAGTTATAATTACATGTAATATACACTTTCTGGTCAGTGTGCGGTTTAAATGTAATAAAGTATAATTTTTTGCTATTTTTGACATGCAAATACTGATGTTTTTCAACTTTAAATATACCAGATGTTATGCTTTCATTCTTTGCGTGTATGTGAATGTGTGTGTTTAATGATAGCTACATCACATTTATTCTATCTTAAGAATACAGTCTTTCTATATTAAGTAGGTATTATTCATGTACTTTTCCATGGAAAATTGAAAACACTGAAATGTAAGATTTATGAAATGGAGAGGTACTATGGAGTTTTCTTATAACAAACAGTATTTCAAGTGATGTATGATGTAGGTATACAGACTCATATTCTTCTCATTATAATCAGAATGAAAAAATGACAATATTAGAAATAAATTGTTTTATAATTGCACATTACAATAATAAAGTAGAATGATATTTGGAATGTTTTTAGATAACATGTAAACTTAATGTGTTTCATTAAATTAAAAATATTTTTAATGTGTCAAACATGTTGTAGATAGAATGAAGTGTTATTTTGCACCAACTTTAACCTATCCCATGTTAGTCGTAGTTGGAGATCATGAATTGTAAAACTGTACCGTTTGGTTACACAGTACAAACATCATTTGTGATCCTTTTTATCAGTGGCTCTACTTTGAAGAATAATGTTTCCAAAGCTTTTATTCATTATATTTATAATTACGTTGTTGCTGTAATGCTTATAATAAAGATTTTTGCACTTAATGAAAAGCCATACATTTCTGAACCTGGAATGAGTAGTTGTTACATTCTATCTTATATTTTTCTTTCAACATGCGACCTTCCTGCCAGTGAAACAGAAATAAGCATATTTTTTATTTATATTGAATCAAATATATAAATACATCACAGTTAAGTTGAATTATAGTTGTAGCATATTTACAGAATAAGTAATTATGTTTGTGTGACTGTGGATGTATACTTATTTTGAGCAGAAAAGAAGAAATATTAGACAAAATGGGTAATTTCAAAAGTGTCGAGGATTTACTAGCAAATTAGAAACTTCAAAGATTCAGAAAGGAGATATTTTGTTCGCTTTATTTGAATTAATTGTTTAAAACCCTAAAGCTTCTGAATGGGAACTTCCCCATGCCAATCCCCGGTTCTTACATGCTTATTACTCATGCTAGGCCTACTATGATATTTTATTATTTCAAAGTTCATTAAGTATTGTTTATATGACCAGATCTGAAATTACAACAAGGATTGTTATAAAACTTAATGGTGCTCGTAAAATTACCTGAAGGTATGAATAAATCCACCGTGTAGTAATTTAATTTTACTTAGTACATTCTATATTCTAACTAGGGAAGCATATTGAAAGCACTTTTTGGTTACTTTTTTTTTTTACTTTTGGTCATAGAACTGTTTGATTTATTGACTTTATCAGGCTACTTTGTTCAGGTAAACACTAGAAGGATTTATAAATTATGGAGTTGATTTTATATTTCAATAGGAGAAATAAGTACAGGATAGTGTTAGATATCTAATAGATGCTTCATAATTACCAGTCAATATTTCTGTGGGAGTGAGCTTGTGGCTCCAGAGAAGAAATTGAATATGTCCAGGGTAAAAAAGTCATTGATTTTGCCTGTGGAGTGAAAGGACAAACAGAACAACCAACCCTCAGATTTTATAAGTGCAAATTCTGCTTCTTTCATTTCATAATTATCTCCAGTTTTTTGCCATTTTTTATCTTCATTCCCTTCTACAACTGTATCTAAGCCATTCTTCTTTCTGCCTGTGCTTGGGCTATAATATTCTCACTGTTGTACTCACCCCCAGCCAGTTCACACAGCATTTAAAATTTTTGATGAGAAGTGTAGAGTATTTTTAATTTGGAGGAAAAAAACATTTTAACTAGAAATCCTGAGACCATTTACAGGCTATACATATAGCATTCTGATTATTTAATTAAGCTTAGAGAAATTCATTGTCCTAAGGTTAAAATAAGAGCATTAAAGTCCAATGAAAGATAAATAATTCTGAAGGCCAGAGGAGTAAATCAAGAACTCAGCATTTTTTGCTTAGTAAAAGCAAACTGTTACCAGATCCTGACATATAATGCCATAAATATGAAAATAATTACAATAAGTGAAGCATTAAAAAATGTGTGATGCATATGGTAAGTACTATATAAAGAAATATGAGAATTTCACAATCTCTTAATACGGAGTTTAGGTAAATAAAGAGCACTGAATTTAATTTTCTATGAATTCCTTATAGTACATCATATGCATCCATCTAGAATCTACTGATGAGTGTGTATTTTCAGTGTTAGAATATAATAGAATGCTTTGTCTGGATTGAAAATATTTGAAATAATCTTTCTTTATCTGATATTTCAATCTTAGAGAATTTATTTTACATAATGTTATCTCCCTTTATTTTAGCAGGTGCAGGGCACAGTACCGAGTTCTCATTTTTAGTCATCTAACTGTGGCCAACAATTCAGTCATTCTCTCTAGCGGAATCTCAGGGATCATCACCACTTTTTGATTGAAATTTTCATTACTGATTTTGGATGCAATCCTGTTTTGCATGCTCACAGTGACCAGAGTTGAGACAGTGAGCACCACATACCTCTTCAGTCTCTTCCATAACACGATAATTAGCACCAGGAAGTCCAGGTGTCTTTAGCTTTAAGTAAAAGCATTAAAACCCCTTTGATGTTCTATCCTGGATTATAAGTCGGCTGGTAAATATCAGAGTTCCATTGCTTAAGACTGACAAATGGAATGATAAAAACAGCATTCTCACTCTGTTGCCTTGGCTAGAGTACCATGGCATCATCCTAGCTCATAGTAACCTCAACCTCTTGGGCTCAAACAATCCTTCTGTCTCAGCCTCCCTAGTAGCTGGGACTACAGGTGTTTGCCACAATGCCCTGCTAATTTTTCTATATATTTTTATTTGGCAGATTAATTACTTTCAATTTTTAGTAGAGACATGGTCTAACAGTGGCTCAGGCTGGTTTCAAACTCCTGACCTTGATTGATGCTCCTGCTTGGCCTCCCAGAGTGCTAGGATTACCGGTGTGAGCCACTTGGCACAGACAGCACAAACTCTATTTCCACCAACAGCTCACTTAAAGAATTGGCTCAATTAGAAAAGTTAATTCCTTGGGATTGGAAATCTTCTGTTCCAACAGTTAGATCTTCACCTAAATTTTTATAGTTCATCACTTGGGGCAGGGAAAAGATGCATCAGCAACCCTAGCTAAATGGGTCTACAAACCCACCAATACAAATTTCTGACACAAATTACGGGTCAGGAAATTTGGTTTGGTATTAATGCACAATTAAATTATGATGATCAGGCTATTTCTCAAATTCAACAGTGCTGTATTAAAGTATGGAAAAAGATACCTTCTCTTAGACTGTAGCTTCCTATATAAATGTTAAACAAAATGTTAATGAAACTCATGTAGATTTTATTGCTAGATTGCAAGAAAGATATGGTGCAAGAAATGGTTAGTCCTCCTAATTTAAGGAATAGTATTTTACATATATTGGCTTTTCATAATGTTAAATCTAAATGCCAACGGCATTATGCCCAGCGAAATTAAGCAGCATGGTGCCACCGCTGCCATGGCTGCTGAGCCATCAAGGTGGTGGCTGTGCTCAGCCAGGCAGCCCAGCACCAGCTCCCCACCACCGCACCCCAATGGCACCTTATGTAGCAAGTGGAGCACCTGGTGGCTGAAAAAACTTTTAAGAAATTGCCAAAAGGTTTGCTCAGACATTTAAAATGCAACTTTTGGCTGAGAGTGTTGGCACAAAAGGTAATTTTAGAGAACAAAACCATCTTGTGACAATGGCCTGTTAATACCATCTACTGAAATATATATATATATATATCAGTTATATATATCAGTTATATATATCAGTTATACATATATAATCAGTTATATATATCATATATATATATATTAGTAGATGATATAGCTTGCTGGACTCTGAAAATTGCAGAAATGTCTACAGAACTCATATGTTCAACACTATGTTTTTCAGTCCTAGACACATTGTAGAATATATTCCTTCCTCAATGAAAGAATGAGTGAATGAATAAAATATACAGTGGAGAACATCACAGACCTTAACCTCAGTGTTTAGGTACTTACTAAAACCAGGGGTGGCTTTATTCTCTGCTGGAGATACTTTTGTTTTAGTATTTAAAAAATACCTATATTATACAAACTATCTAGAAAAATCAAATTCATAGAAACAAAAATTAAAATAGTGGTGCCAGGGACTGAACAA